GGGTCATTCTTGTGGTTTTTCATCCACTAAACACTGATGGAAAATCACCGTTTAGGTTCTGTTTCACGCTTTTTTTTGCGAATTGGCATTGAATCGTGGGAAAGAAAAGTCATTATATGCAAATGTGATAGTTATGTAAGTGATAAATGTAGCAGTAACCGGGCTAATAGTCTCAAGTAAAATATTCGAAAACGTGATCGTTGTCCTTCCTTTCAACAGTTAGTGAATTGGGAGCTGGATATTGAACTGTTTAAGCGTTCCATTCATGAAGCTGCACAGGAGTTGTTTTTTTTTTTATCTTTTGTGATTGTTTGTTATTTTTTGAATTTCGCAAAAAGGACGGGACGAGGAGGAGCTCAGAGTAATTATGTAACCAGATCCTGCTCTTTTCAAATTGCTGGCTTTAAAACAAGGAATCATCATTCACATTAACTAAATATTGCATCGATCAGTTTGATATTTTCAATCTCGGTTGATGCTGATTTACAGCAGATATCTCTTCTATTTCCGGGCACGTATTTGATGGGCCAAGACAATGTAATATTTCCTCGGTACAACACCAAGTGTGACCAGCTGCTCTGACCAAACAGCAGGTATGTTACCAACGTCAGAGCGGAGAACATGTTTTCCACAGTCACAGCTGATTGAGCTCAATGCGAGTCTGATTCAATGTCCAGAGATATACAATCAATCCAAGGGTCAAACACCACCAACAAAATACAAATATATCTTTCTTTGCTCTATTCTCGAGATAAACCAGCCTGGTTCCAGTAAAGTTCATCTTTGAAAGCCCATTGTCATTCACAACATTTGAAGAGGGATAGATTGAATCTTCTTCACAATTCAATAGCTGTATGAATTCACATTAAGTAAGGGTATTTTCCAAGTTACAATCAAGGTATACAAATAGATCAACATTTTACACCATGACAATAACCATATATGGAGTAGATATTGAGTTCAGACATAGATGGAAACTTTTGATGTTATCATTGACTGAGGAGGACAAAAATAACAAACAAAAGCAGAAGTTTCTGGAAAAGCTCAGCAAGTCTGGCAGTGAAGAGAAATCAGAGTTAACGTTTCAGATCCGGTGACCTTTGTTCAGAGCTGGGAAAGT